CTACTGTTAAAGGCTTTCAAAGAGCGACTGACAAATTCATAACAGAAAGTGGAAAATGTAATCAAATATGTCGGTGCTAGATATGGCAAGAAATGTAAACATTTTTTTTCGATTTCTCTGAAACGGAGCAAAAACGAGCATATGTCTATAGGACTTTTTTTCTTAGTTTTTTACTCCTCTACACGCTCCCGAAGTTTTGCGATTTAATTTGGAAACACCCTGTACTTATTGGATATTATAAGATATGTTGGATACAATAAAAGCAAACAAATGTTTTTTAGAAAATAAAGATATTTTATTATAGACTCTGCATTATTCGAAATCGTTTCAATTCTCCGATATTTTTCAGAATGTCTTCTGAAACATCATAATCAGAAATTGCTCCTCTTCATAATCAGAAATGTCTTCATCCCATATGTCATTGTTGTCTATGCACAGATTGTGCAAAACGCAATAACAGACGATTAATTTTGTGATTTTTTCGACTGTATGCATATCAATCTGTAATAACAGCTGTCGAAACCGTGCTTTTAATAGACCAAAGGTATTTTCAATACGTACGCGAGTTTGACAATGTTTTTTATTGTATCTTTTTTCCATTTCTCCTAAATTTTCGTAGCCTTTGAATGGAACAAGTAACCATTCGCGTATCGAATAAGCAGAATCGCCTAAAATATGATATTTTTTCCCGCATATTTCCGGCAGCTTCTGTTTGATATCGCTCAATTTAAATACTCTTGCATCGTGAACTTTTCCTGGAACTCCAGTGAACACATCGATGAATTTTCTCTTTGAATTACATATTGCTTGCAATATTATAGATGTTTTGTCGTGTCGATTGGCATAAGTTGATGCAATCTTGTGAGCTGGTGTTCTTATATTTATATATGAACCATCGATACAGCCTATAACATCTGAAAACCCCGCAATCTCTTCAAAGGATCTTGCTTCTTCCTCCAAATCGTCTGGAAATTTAATGACTTGTTCCGCAATTTCAATCAGATAATTCATGACTCTCTCACATTGATGAAAAACTGTTCTGAGGCAGGTTCCAAAAAGCGTAGCAACACATCGCAATGATTCCTTATTACCAACAAACCACAAGAATACCAGCATGTCTTTTTCTGGCAACCATCTTTTAATTCCTCCATGATTATTTAATGGTGGGTAAGACGATTGTTCATATTGTTCAATAAGTTTATAAGCTGTATCTTTGTTTAATCGGAAGTGTTTTTTAAACTGAAATTTGTAAAGCAAATATATATATATTGCAATTCATAAACACACACACACACACACACACACACACACACACACACACACACACACACACACACACTCTCTCTCTCTCTTTTTCTCTCTCTATTTCAGAACAGAATCATTATTTTTATTAATATTTTCATCAAAAATTTACGGTAATAACCTACAAATCTTCTGATATATTTTTAAGGTAATATCCGTGAAAGCCTCAAAAACGTTATTTACCCAATGTATGTACAATTTCAAAACTAACCTCATTATCTGAATATTCTCTTACAACAGAAATAAAATTCTTTAATTTCGGAATTTTGTTTCTCTCATGTAGGAAAAGTGCGAGCTGTATAAATTCCTCGTCGTCGTCTTCTTCACTCGATGAAGATAATATATCGATATATTTCATTATTTCGCTAAAATCCTGCTGCCGATTAACCTCCATTTTCAAATTTTAAATGTCACACTGGCTCTACACCATCCCTTTGAGATCGTGTAGCAAAATCCCACTTCGTGCATAAAATTTGCACCACACTATAGCCACGGAAACACGTTACACTGAATGAGTTCGCCCACTACCAGCCAAAGAAACATGCTACACTGTCCGAGTGTTGCACTAGTGGGCGCTAGTGCAGCCAAGAGAAAACGTTATAACAAGCACTCACTGAATCAATCAATCCGCCTATGCGGAAGCGCCCAGAGGGACGCGCTGACATGCACCACTATCGGTAGCGTATCGCCGCTCTGTATCATAACGTGTTGTTATCCCGTTAAATCTCCGCCAGTTCATCCACGAGCCCCACAGGACCCGAGTTGTGAGAGTGCGAAGCTGACCAGATGTTAGGCCCAAGCGACGCATCTCACCCTCGCTTTGCGAGCTCCAGACTCCTCGCCATGTAATAGTGATGGCGGTGAAACGAACATTATTACGAGGCACTCCTGTATGGTCTGCCACGCGATCCGCTAGATCCTCACAGGACCGGTACTTCTCCACCTTCTGCTCATGAGACGATGCATGCCTGTTAAAGTGGCCGTAATCTGCCAAAAATCCTAAGCGATAACGCTCTATTTTTCCACCCAGACTTATGGCCCCAGAGAATAGACTCAAGAGGGAACCACGGTCGCTGCTCTTGCCGCTTACCTTCACCACGACCAGATCTTCGTCATCGAAACTCAAACTATCTGCACGATGTACCTGCAGGATGTCGACGTGATAATGGTCGACGTCGACAATCTCGTCTAGGAGAGTCCGCGAGGCTACCGTCCAATTTCATGCCATGCTGCGCCATATAGAATCGCAAGTTATTAATTCCACAGGTCGTTCTGGTATCTGTCGTTATGAGTTGGTCGGTTATCAGTTTCGTAAACATTTTGAAATCGGATTGATATACGCGGTACTTGGTGCGTATGTCGTACATGTGGTACTTGAGGCCCGTCTTCGATGAATCGAGCTTCTTTGGTAATCGTCGAACAGCTTCAAAAACCACGTTTTTCATTAATGCCGTGCATGCCGCTCACGTAATACCCTCCGATGTTGTGGTCGACCGTGGAGGAACGCCTTCGTAAAAAGGACTGGTTAAGTCCATTTTATAGGCGACAAACAACTCCCGATTGTCGATAACACCGATGACGAATTCGTACCATTTCGACGCTCGGCCACCGTCTTCAATTTCGTTGCGTGTTTGCATCCGTGGTTTGCGACGCAAATCAAAGCAGTGGCGATTATCCATGTATTTCGTAAATTTACTGTTTTTAACTTGTACCGGAATGTTCGGCTCCGCGTAAATGACGCAGGTATACCTACATTTAAAGGGTTCAACACTGCGACAACTTATGATCATGCTATCCACGTCGTGTTTAATACGCAAGTCGCTTCCGCTCGCGTAGTCCAGATGTATCGATGTAGCGTCACGTTTCAACGATTCTAACGTTTCGACGTTTTCCATCCTTAGCGATGGTCATGTCGGGCCGCCTCCTGCTGGCAGAGGTCGAATACGCCAGTTCCGCATCGACATGCCATCCCTTCTGTTGTAAGAAGCTACCAACTTTACGACACAGGTCGTCGTGTCGCAGGATCCTCCCTCCGTGCGTTCTGAAGCATCGCTGAACGCAGTGAGCCGGGGTCTCTCTGTCGGGACAACCGGCCCTACAACGAACATCGCGCCCATCACGACCTCGGGAGACTCTCGCTCGAGACGGTAAGCAGTTAGCCCGTATATGGTGATAGTGCACGTAGACGGCTCCGGATATGGCGTCCGCACCCTGTGCGACCCAATGCGAACTCAGTTTGGACGACGCGACCTCCCTGAGTCCGTTCCCATCGCACGACTCGCGCAACCAGGCCGCACACTGCTGTCTGAGCTCAGCGGTAGAAGCAACTCTATTGCCGTGAATCCTCATTTGGTTCTCGCACCACATCAACCGCCTAGCCACGTAAGTGGATTCGGCAACGGCGCTTGCCGCAGGCAGAATACTTCTACAAAGCCGCTGCAGTCGGTTATGATAGATAGGCTTCAAGATAGGGATATAAGTTTTGAGTAGAGGCAAACCAAGCCCTCCACTTTGTATCGGCGCATGGAAGTATCCAGCAGGAACATCATGGGGAAACCGCAGCCAGCGGTGTACCGCAGTGCGCGCTAGCACGTCCAAGCCTTTGAGAGTTTTAGAGGTGACTGCCCCCAACACAACGATGGTAGTATCGGGGAAGGAGACAGTCCCTGAGCAACCGTAGCCGCTGTTGCGGCTTTAACGGAGCCTTCGTCAGTAGCTCGATGGAATGAGCCAAAGGCGGAACGTTTGCGTATTCCCTAGCCCCTTGATACATGCTCCCCAGATACGTCCACACCTCGACAGGGGATCTCTGCGGTAACACCGCTCCCCCCACAGTGAAGTGAGGTGTTGTGTCCACTTTCACTTTCTTGTCTCGGCCGAACGCCACCATGGAGAGCACGCCAGTTTTCTTTGCGTTAATTTCAAGTCCATTTCGCATGAAGGCAGCGTGAAGCCGCGTCAAGTTCTCCTGCAGACCAACTTTGGTAGAGGACAGGAGCACAATGTCGTCAGCATAGCCCAGAGCGCTGATCAGCTGGTCACCCATCTGATAGCCAACATCCTCCGAGAGAATTCCCAGTGCTCTATCTACGACCAGATTGAACAGTAGGGGCGACAACGGATCACCTTGCCTCACACCACGTCCGATCTTAATAGGCACCTCATTGTATCCGGATGCCAGCTTCGTGCACGAGTTGTCATATAGGGCCCTGACATAATTTCGGAACTCAGGCGGTAAGCCCGCCTCCTCCAGAGTCCGATATATGGCATGGTGGGTTGCCGTGTCGAACGTTTACACATGCCACGTGCAAAGTTTTGCAACGCCTCCGGGCATCCCCAAGCACAGCGGACAGCACCGTGATGTTTTCACAGGCCCCGTCCACCGGCCGAAAACCCCTTTGACGACTGTCGAAGATGTCCAGGGCCGACAACCGTTTAGCCAAAATTTTATGGAGGTGCCTAATAATGACGGATCCTATACTGAGAAGTCGGTATTCCGAGGGCCCAGGGCTCTCGGACATCTCTCCCTTCTCCAGGAATACCGTCCTCGTGGTGAATATCGACGAAGGTATCGTTTCCGCCAGGAGCAGCAGATTGAACAGCAGCGCACGAAGAACGTGTGGAACGGAGTTCCACATCCTCGGCGTAATACCGTCCAATCCGGGCGCAATGCCAGTCCTTACGGAAATCCTAACGACTTCTGTCATCGAAATCGGATCCCAGAGCAAGGTCCTATCCGCCGTACGTGGAGCTTGATCCACAGCGGCGCCCTCATCGAGGCTTTCGAGATGAATCCCTCTGGCTCCCGACGGACGGCTCCGGCTAGCACTCGCCGCCTGTTTCGCCTCTCCGTATCATTCTTGCAATCCCGTCATATCTCCATCCGCTTCCCCGGTCGCCTCCATAATGGGGCGCCAGTACTCACGGAATTCGACAGAGGACGGGCGTTTGCGGACGGAGCCTCCTTTGAGTATGTGCGAAAGACACGTTCTGAGGTTCTTCTCTAGAGAGATTGCACATGTGCTAATTCTCTCCTCCTCCTCTGCTCTCTATTCTCTCGTTTGTTAGGAGGACTGCAACGCCTGGCCGACGCACGCTGCGGAGTTCTCCAACAACAGCGACGTTGTTCCACCGAGCGAGGCGTGTCCAAATTCTATTTTTATCTTTGATGACGTGGCTTGCGACAAGCAAGATGCAGTGAGAGAATATTTTTCGATGGGTCATCATGCAAACGTCGACTGCTTCTATCTCTGTCAGACGTACGCGAGGATACCTAAACATCTGATACGTGACAACGCGAACCTGCTGATCCTGTTCAAACAGGATGGTACCAACTTGAAACACGTTTACAACGATCACATGAATACCGACATGTCGTACGACGAATTTTGCTTGCTGTGTCGCGACTGTTGGCGACAAAAATATGAATTTCTAGTGATAGACAAGGACAGTGCGCTTACAAAAGGTAGATACAGAAAAGGATTTAACGAGTTCGCGATACCGTAACGTGGTTAGTCGTTGTCGATACTTTGTCAGAGACAAACATGGCTGATGATGCGCGAGTGTGAAAAAATCGCGAGGGAGATCGAGAAGACGAGCGAGTCGATCCGCAAGAAACATCGCGCTCTGAAGACCGGTAGAATCGAGAAGACATCGCGTTGGACAAACATTTTAAACCTCTTATCGAGCCGCTGCGACTTTTCGTCGACAACTCCGGCGGGCGCGCGACAAAGAAAGAGTCGCGTGGCGATGACTACGCAGCGTCTGCCTCTAAACGTGAGAGGAAGGAGGGGGAACAAGAGGAGAGAGGAAGCGAGCGAGACGTTCGAGCGTTCCGCGACTCTAAGTAAATCTGATCAATGGCACGACGTACAACCGATAACCGCGTGTTACGACGACGATCGCATAACCGATAGAGTCGTTCGAGAACGTTTTCGAAACGACGGACGATTCGTTAGCGACGAAAGTTCAAATTGTAATACTCGATGAATCTTTGTTATGCGAAGACCGTGACGAGTACATTGCTGCAGGTTACGGTAGTGGATGACGTAACGCTGCTTATCGTACAGCGTCGCTAGAAGTTTATTCTCGCGCTTACCGAGCGGCTTATCGCGCGTAGGACAGAATGGTAGGTCTGCATGAGCGTCATGAAGATGCTGCGGATACTAGAGATCGACCTCGAGAATGTAACCGGTGGGTGAATCCGGAGCGATCGCGCTCACGTCAAAGTTAGCAGCGTCTTCGATCCATTGAAATTCGGTGTATGGCAATGGTTGACACATCGCCCACCCGTACAGATTGTTCACGTCGTAGTACATTAAGTACGACGACGGTTTCGACGGGTCGTACGAACGCATGTACTTGTTATTAGCCTGTGCGTATCTGCCGGAACAT